GTGATGGTAGAAAAGAATTTGCTTTAGTGACCTTTAATGGTTCAGCATAGGATGATTTGGTATGGAAATGTATTGCATTTACCCAATAAGGAACTTTGAATGGTATGTGTTTTTAATGTACAGTAATGAGTGAGGTCAAAGTACAGTTTCTACAGTGATCCTCAGGTACCACACGACCACTAAGATGCCCGTAGCAGCATCTGACATTTGGAGTATTGAATGAATTGGCACTAAACTTCAATATAAACGCAGCATGTTCACAAACAGCTGCTGTAAGATGTAGAACATCTTACAGATGTTAAGATGATTAGAACATCTTAAGATGATTAGAACAGTTATATTTATTATTTTTGATAAAACATGAGCAAGATGTTTCAGCAGGCTGTATGTGTGCTGTAAGATAAACTTTATAGAAACTGTACAGTTTGTACCTTATGTTAGTGACTAATCATGCCTTTCATATAAAAGTACACCAGAGTCATTGGTGTACATAGAAATCTGACCCACTTAAGAGACTGCAGAATCAAATTAGAATTAATGGGAAAATTTCTCAGAGACTAAAATGCCTTGAAAATTAGAAAGATTGTTCTTCAGTAAATCAGAAAGCACCCGTGGAATGTTTAGCACAAAAACACTGTGCCTCATTGTTTTACTCTTTTAGCAGTCCCGTCCGAGACGTTGGTCTTCACGGAATCCTGTTTTTTTTCAGATGTCATTAAATGACATTTCTTGCCAAAGCCCTTCCTGGCTGAGCTGGAGATTATATAAGAGTTGTAGCTCAGACAGCCTTCATGATGAAGGAAGTTTGGCACCAGCTCCAGCATAGCACCTCCATGGCCTGGTGACCTTGATCAGAGTGGACTCCCCTGTGGGGGGCTCGGCATCTTCACCTGTAAATGTAAAGATTGAACTCATGATCTGTTGTGGGGAGGTCATGCATGCCATTCATTCATTCAGCAAGGGTTTGTTGAGCACCTACTGTGTGCCAGGCACCATTCTATCCCTGAGGGTTCAATGATGAGCAAAACCAGACAGAAGTCCCTGCCCCCTGGTGCCTAGATCCTAGTGGGGAGAGAGATCATCCTTAATCAAACAGCCACACAAATATGTCATGACAACCTTGGGAAATGCCATGAAGGGCTGGTGGAGCCCTGCGGCTGAAGAAGCTCATAATAGGGAGATTTATTTCACCCAGACGGGAGACCAGAAAGGGCATCCTAAGGGTGTGACAGGTGAGGGGCTGGAGAACGCAGGCAACGGTGGAGAGGGACGGGCTTTGAAGGCACAGGAGACACTGAGTTCTAAGCTCAGCAACTTGACCACCTTATCTCCCTGCATCTCGATTTCCTCATCTGTAAAAATACAGCTGACATCAGGAACTTTTCATGCTGTCATGCTGTTGAAGGTTTCAGGACAACTTGTTTGCAAGTACCCAGCACCAGGCAAACTACATTGCATTGCATTTCTAAGAATAGCTTTGGAAGCAGAGATCTACTGTTTTGTACGTGGACTTTCAGATGTGAAGAAAGAGTGAAAACAGCTTTGAGCCTTCTTTTGTTAAAACGTCTGAGTTTGCTTTCAGCCCTGGGAGGTCCCTGGCTTCCCTTAATCATAGAGCCATGTTTGCCTTACTTGACTTTGAAAACCTGGGAATGACCTTGCTGCCTGATTAAGTGACAGAGGCTTTAGGGGCTGGCAGAAGATTAGACATCCCTGGCCTGATCCCTTGCTGTTTACACACAAGGGAAGGAGGCTGATCACATGAATGACAAAACTGGAGTGAGCAGGCAGCCCCTGCCCCATGGTCCTGGGCTTTTCTGTCTTGTCTCTCTGCTTAATATTTCATTTGGAAACTATGGATACTTTCTGAGGCTACTTGTGGGTGCTTAGGCAATTCCTTCTTGAGATAACGCAAGGCTAATGCTCTCTCATAACTCTTCAAGGCCTGAGAATTACTTCTTTAATCTTAAAAAAGCAAACAGGAGGACAGAAATAACCTATCAATTGTTTAAAATGAAAATGGCCAACAATAATAAATAATTGCCACAATAATAGGTTGAGGTCAGGGTCTTCATTTACTGGAGGCCATTCAAGAATTTGAAACTTTTCTCCAAGTTAATTTTTCACATCTTGTTTGGATCCTCAGAGCTCTTGCTTCCAAAACCAAGGCCATCAGATCTCTCATTGCACGTTATTCTTGTTGACGTGCCAGGCATGCAGGAAAGTGAGGTCCTCTCTTCATGGATGGGTAATGATGATCCCCTCCCCCCAAAAAATGCATATTTCAAAGTTTTATAGCCTACTGAGATTTTGGAGAGTTCTCTTCTCTTTCATGCTGTATTAATGGTTGCAAACAACAATAAACATGTGCTTGTTAATTAAGTGGAAAAGGAATTTATTGGAAGGATATGGGTTGGTTCAGAGCCTAGGCAGGAGGGAGAGGCAAGGCTTAGCCCAGGATGCCAACCCTGGGCTGTCAACTCCTCTGCAACCACCTCAGATGATCTCAGAGGGCCCTGGTGTCACTGGGCAGCCCTCAAAATTCGTGGCCCCAGTTGGCAGCATCCACCCCCCACACTGAGGCCACTTGACCACCCTTAGATCACGTGACTGCACTTAGTTAAGTGCCCACACTTGAATGACCAAGAGAAGGGCAGAGGGAGGGTCTGCCCCTTTTCTGCTGATAGTTCTTCCACCTCTCTTGAGATTCCCCCCAAACAAAAACGTGTCAGGATGCTGAGTGGCCAAAAGTAAGAACTGTCCGTTACTCAAACCCTCATATGCTTGATGACATCTGCCACTAACTGGCTGGCCAGTCAAAGATCGGCCTCCAATGTGAATTTATTTTGTCCAAAACTCACATTCTCTAATAATCATCAGCCTCACGTGCATCTTCATCCTTGTCATCATCCTCACCACCATCATCCTCATGCCGTTGATGGTCCATTCACTCCCCCGCTCTCCTGGGCTGCCATTTCCCTCCATCTCCTCACCGTTCAAATATTCCCCTCTCCTCCTCTCCCTTCCCAGTCTTTGACGCTGCTTCTATTTCACTGCAAAGTGGAAGCAATCACAGGGGAACTTTCATTTGTTCCTGCCACCCTTCTACTGATGCATCTGGGCCATCTGCTCCACTTTCTCACTTCGTACCAGCTGAGGCCTGCCCCTCCGTTTGTTCACCATCCAGCAGCTGTGCCCTGTCATGTCTTTATTAATTGTCCCCTGTCTAGTAGATCCTTCCTGTGATCATGTAAATATGCCATGATAATTCCCATCTGAAAAGAAAAAAACAATTCCCTTGAGCCCACTTCCCCCACCAGCTGTCAATCCTATTTCTCTGCTTTCCTTTATAGAAAAATTCCTCCAAAGAGTCAGCTTTATAGAAAAATTCCCTTTATAGAAAAATTCCTCCAAAGAGTCAGCTGTGCTTATTGTTTCCATTTCTTCTCCTCCTACCTCTCTCAGACCAACTCCGATCATCCCTGTCACTGCACTTCAGCAGTTCTTATCAAGATCACCAATGGCCTCCAGATGGCTAATTCCAGTGGCCAGTTCTAATTCCTCATGTTAGATTACCACATTTGACGAAACCGATTACTCCTTTCTTGAAGCATGTGGCTGCTTGGAGACTGTCTCTCTTGGTTTTCCTCCCATCTCCTCAGCCACTCTTTTTCAGTCTCCTTTGCTGGCTCCTTGTCATCTTTAGCTCCTAAACATGAGACCCCCTTCTCTAGTTACATGCATTCCCTAGTGATCATTTCTAGTCCACCCAAATGCATACCTCCAACCCTGACCCCTCCTTCCACTCTAGACCCTTACATCCAACTATCTCAGCATCTCTTCTTGAAAATCCAATAGGCATTTGGATTTTCTCTGCTGACCACCTATACCCATGGTCTTTCCCATCTCAATAAGTGACCCCTCTTCCCTTCATCCAATCCATAAGCAAAATCTGTTGGCACAACCTTTGAGACATCCAGAATATGACCTCAGCTTCTACATTGTGGTCTGGGCTGCCATCTTCTTACACCTGAATTATTACAAGTACCTTCAAACCAAGCTCTCTCCTTCCCCCCCACCAACCACTCACTCCAGACAGTTCACATCACATCCAGTGAGCCTTTAACCATTGAAGTCAGGTCACACCATGCCCTGCTCAGAGGCCTGCAGGAGCTCCTGCCTCAGAGGCAAACCATGGGCCTAGGGATGGCCCACAATGCGTGGTCTGCCCACCCCTACTCCCTTCACCTCGAAGCCCATTTCCTCCCACTCTGCCCCTTACTCCTCTCCAGCCACACGGGCCTCCTTGCTGCCCTTGAATACACCAGACACAACTTTTCCTTTGCTAGTTCTCAGATATCTGGGTATCTTGCTCTCTTTCTTTCTTCCAATTTCTACTGAGAGGTCACCTCATCAGTGAAGCTTCCCTGATCGGCCTATTTAAAATTGCACCCTACTCTCCCTCCAAATCTGGTGTCCTCTATCCTTCTTACCTTTTGTAAGTTTTCTCCGTTGCTCTTATCACAATCTGACCTGTATGTTTGCTTCTTTATGTATGTGTTTTTTGTCTCCTTGAAGCTACAGGAAAGCAAGAGCTCTCTTTTGTTCACTGCTTTCTCTAGCACATAGAGTAGTGATTGGCATGTAGTAGGTGCTCAGAAATATTTGAATAAATTACTGTATGACCAAATTCCATGTATAGGTTATTAAATGTCTTATAATTTTCCAAGTTGGATGCACTAGATTTCACATGAGCCACAGGACAGCTTAGTGAGTTAGGCAACACAGGACCATAGAACTCCCCGTGCTTAGATGACGAAGCTGAGGCCCATGGGGGCTGACTGAGTGCCCCGGGACGCATGGCTAGTTACTGGACTTCCTGGGACTTGTAGTTCTGATCCCAGTAGAGTTTCCGCCCCCACTCTCAGCTATCCCCTGAAGCCTCAGGTTATATCAGTGAAAGCTTCAGAACACTTATTGCTGTTCATATTTCCTTGCAGTGTTGATGACAGAACCCCGTATCTAGCTATGGGGGCTGTGAAGAATATCTCCCTAAACATCTCCATCTCCAACCTCGGGGACGATGCCTATGATGCCAACGTGTCCTTCAACGTTTCCCGGGAGCTCTTCTTCATCAACATGTGGCAGAAGGTAAGAAGGACCCACATCTAGTGCATTTGCTGACTTTCATCGTACCTTGGAATATGCAGTGATTCTGCAGAGGTTATTCCTTTATGTGGAGGATCGCTTGGAATTATAATTTTTTCCTCCTGAACTTAGAAAGCATCGTTGGTAAAAGCCAAAGAAACCATAAATGCCCACGATGCATCAGAGCCGTATCCATATCTCACACAGTTTCCCATCCCTTCTCTCTTGTGAAACCCTCTCTGCACAGTTTTATGTCTGGCCCCTTCTCTGAGATGATACAGTCATCATCTCCGGCACACGCATGTTCTAGAATATTCCCACTGTAGGTCAGTAGTTGTTGTGAAAAACCAGATAAGAAATGAGAACAGATCACTGCTTATCATGCACGTTATCACCAATGGTGCCCTTGATGCTTTCCATTCGAGGATCATGAACATCTGCCTCTGCTTTGGCATATTGATTTAGTCCTGAGATATTTTAGTGAATTGAGGAAATTAAATTATTTCCATGAATTGAGTGAGTTTTAAAGAGCGATTTAATTTATTTGCACGATTGACGTTTAAATAGCATGACTCAGAAAGGAAAAAGGAGCTGGGATTCTCTCTAGTCCCATAATCCCCCTCAGTGAACCACTTTGGGGAAGAAAGTGTAATGGGTCTCAAACGTAGGTGGCAGGAGGAATGAGTGGACTCGGATAGACCGACTTCTACCTGGTGGTTGTCTGACTGTGGGCAGCTGTTCCGATGGGAAGTTTTGCAGCTTTTCAAAGTGTTCACAGATTTGAACTGCAGCACCTTGATGTCTGTGTAAAAATGGAGCCGGAATCACTTTCCAAGGGAAACCTTGGCCCTGCCCACAGGTGAGCGCTTGGTGTGCCTTTGGGCGGTGGGCAGCCTCTGTCCAGGCACAGGTCCTGCTAGGCTCAGTTGTTTGGACAGGACTGTGCCAACCCTGCCTGGCTTACGGGGCAGCTGGGGCATATGGAGACATCCTGAAAGGCACTTCAAGAACATCCCAAGCAGTCATGTTAGAATCTCTGATGCTCTGTAGCTTCTGGAGCTACAGGGTAGGGGAGACCACAGAGGCATTGAATGCAAGAAGGGCATGCTTTCCAGCCACTTCTACACCCCCAAAATTGTCCCTGATTTTAAGCCCAGTCCAGAGGGAGCCAAGAATCTTCAGGGTTCTATTACCTGGCTGTGCACCGAATCTCTTTTACAGAATGTCATGTCTGTGATGGGTCTTCTTGTGGGGCATAAGAGGGTGGATGGGGGGAGGGGGGTTCACTCAGGGACCAGACCTGTGGAACTCACCATTATGGTAACTAAGAGGGTGTGACTGGTGACTGGGTCATCACATTGAATGTATTCCTGTCACTCAGGACCCATGGGAGAACTTCCTCTTTGTCTCAGAATTAGGAATAGCTGTGCTTTCCCAGAGCATTTTGGCTTGTTCATATCTGTGGACACAGTCATCCTTATAACCAACTGAGCTTCGTTGTTTCTGTTGCCTGCTAGGAAGCTCAGAGCTTGCCCCACTCTGTTAGTACCTAGGATTTGGTGGTATAATTTATAAACTAAGTAGCCTCCTGCATCTTGCTTTACTTCCCTTCACCATGTTTTTCTTTTTGGCTTGGAGACTGTATAATATTCTATCATAGGATATAGTATGGATTGCCTATGAATTCCTACTATTGGATATTTAGATTATTTCCAATTTTATTCTCTTTTAAATAATATTATGATGAATATCTTCTACAGAGATTAGTATGAGCAAATGGTTATATCCTTAATCATAATTATTTGGGTAATGGGAAGTAGCATTTATTGACCATGTGTTATACACCACAGGTTTTACATACATTTTCCCATTCCCTCCTTACTGCATGTGATCCAGGTGCACCTGATTTATTGGAGGAATGTTCTCAGGAGAAAAGAAGTGAGGGAAGCAGGTTGGGGCAGAAAGGGCTGAGTAAGGGTGTAAAATCCAGCCTTGGTCTGGGTTGTGGGGTGGAAAGAGGTGGGGGAATGCCCTAGAGCATAAATCACTCAGCAGAACTGTCCCCCCTTGAAGTGGAAGGGGAGCACCATTTCCACCCTGTCATCATCATTGACCACTGGGGGTGGTGGTGAGTAGCCTCCCTGACATCCTGGACAAGGGGACTCTGGTCAGTCAAGGACGACGCATGTGAGAAGGACACAGGTGTGTCACTAGCTACTGTAACTGATCATGGGGCCAATGAGAGCACATTTTTATCTCTTTGGCATTGAGTCCCAGCAACCTTTAAAACCTTTGGCACAGGGGACACTAGGTTTCAATTTGGCAGAAAGTTGACAGGGTATCGGGCTCTTCAGGATGTGGTGGGCATTAGTCCAGTAAAGGTGGCAGGGCACAGAGACATTATATCATGTAGCTGCTGCAGAGGCAGGACTGGCTAGAAAAGCAGATGGGTGAGATGGCCCTCAGTGTAGCAGGAGAAGGAATAATAGAGAAAAAAAATTCCCTTCCTGTGACTACAACCACAACTGCAAAGTTAAGCAACTGGGGAATATAAATGGCATCACTCAGCTCAGAGCAAGATTTTAACGGCATGCAGGTGGGTAATGAGGGAGACAGGAGAGGGCCCACCCACCATGATCCACCTACCAGAACCAACATGGGCCCTACCAAAAGGTTCTAGCACATTAAGTAAGAAAAGTATACCTCCAGATACAGAGGGAAGGCATACCTTTTAAAAGACTATTAATAGAAAACAAAAGTAAATTTTACTGAGCGTCTGCTTTTGTTTTTAGTAAAATTCAAGAAAAAAATGAACGCAGCAAATGATCAGATAGTAGAACAACAGACTGAGAAGAAAAGGGAATGGGCTGAGAGAGAAGCAAAAATAAAGGTTTTGAGTGGGATAAGGAAATATTATAATGAAACCAAGAAGGTAATGACAGAATCAAAATATGTGTTATGGGGACTTCCCTGGCGGTCCAGTGCTTAAGACTCCATGCTTCCACTGCAGGGGGCCTGTGTTAGATCCCTGGTTGGGGAACTAAGATCTTGCATGCTGCGCAGCATGGCCAAAAAGAAAAAAAATATGTGTTATGATCAGGAGAGAGCAGAATTGGCAGTACGGGAAGTTGATTCATTGTTGCAGAGGGTGTATTTGAGGAGGTCTCTGAGAATTCAGAGAAAAAGAACAGAGCAGTGGAGAAGGATGGCAGTGAAGACTAGGTATGGAAGGTGGAGGCTGGAGAATCAGCAAATAGAAACAGTTCCAGAATCACTGGAATAGAAGACATGAGTAGACAGCAAAGAAGGATCTCCGTTTTCTTGAATGGGTGCTGCAGACATTAGGCAAAAGTGTTAAGAACAGTTTAATGTTTACACATAACCTCATGACATTTCTAATTTTACAGGTATAAAAATGATACTACTCGTACCTAACAGAAAACAAAGAAAGCCATTTTCTACAGATTTCTGTAACATTAATAGCAATAATTAGAAATTATTGTTCCATGGTGAAATAAGAATTCTATACCCAACCAACTTGCCCTCCATGGTAAAGGCAAAATAAAGATATCCTTGAATATATAAGAATTTGTAAAGTCTACTAACTCTCCTGTTTTGGATTCCCCCCAAAGCAGACCCAGACACACTGGTGGTGGTGTAGGTAGTTTAGAGAGTTGTCTCCGGGGGTGGGGGGGGGGCACGGTGTGGGAGTGGTGAGTGACGAGAGACAGGAGAGTGTGCACGGAGGGGCAGGTGGTGCTGTGGGCAGTTCGGGCTCCATCCTGCTGCAGACCCTCTGAGAGACAGAGTCACCCCTCAGACTCACTGCTCTGTAGGGTAAGGAAGCTGCTGGAGGGTTTATCTACCAACTCCTGCTGCTCATCCATGGAGAATCACTCCAAAGGCATTAACTGTCTAGCCTTTGCAGCCTTCCCTGGCTGTGGGCCATACTTCCTGGGGCCAGGAAACAACTCAGGCAGAGAGTTGGGGGAGCTTTGGGCCTGGAAGGGGACTGGCCTCAAGTGACCAGCCCTACGGGTGTTTACAGGGAACACGAGCAAGGCACTGGCAGCATCTGCCACAAAAGTCATGAAAGCTTGAATAGCCGTGAAACTCTTTCTGAGAAACAGTTATAGATACAGCGTATTGTTGAATAAAAAGTGTATTAAAGCCAAATACATTAAAAAAAAGTAAGCAAAAACAATTTTTACAAATATTGAAAATATTAAGCAAATGTAAAAAAATTATTGTCTCAGTAAATATATAATTTTAAAGATTAATAAAAATAAGCCTATAATCTGTTTTACCATAAAAATTTGAGAAGAAACTTAATCTTGTCACTCCTCCTGCTTCACATTCTTCAGGATGGAGCTCAGGCTCCTCAGCTGTTCATGAGAGGCCCTTCCCAGCCTGGTCCTTCCTGCCTCCCTTCCTCCCTGGCCTCATTGTTCACCATCCCCCACATACATGCTTGAATCCATTCATACTTTATTACTGAAGCTGCCTTTACCCAGGAATACCCCAGCCCCAGTTTGTTTAATGAACTGCTCTGACCTCACATCTCAGTTCAGGGGTCACCCATGCAGGCCCCTCGCATGGCTGCACAGGTGATGTGGGTAGATGGATAGTTGGGTGGATGGGTGGAAGACTAGCTGTCCCTCTTGTCCAGAGTCACAAAGCAACTCAGCGCCCAGGCCCTGACTACAAGGTCTCCAGTCTTCTCTGTCATCACACAATTAGTGATGTATCAGTTTCTGAGACTGAACAAAAAAATATCACTTGAGATGGATTTTTCTATCTCATGCGAGGCTTCTTTCGTGGATTTGTTCTTCCTTTAAGGGAAGGCTGCTTATAAGAATGTGGGCTGCACAGGGATGACTTTTCTCTCACCTACATAAAGCTAAAAGAGAGAATAAGAATGGAGAAAACATGGTTTGGAATACCACAGCATCATACAACTTTAGGGTCACGTTCACCTTGGGCTCTACGTGAGCAACACCTCA